AAATGCAGGTGTGAAAAACTTGTTGCATCATTCCCAAAAAGACTCATGGCTGTATTAGCTCCAAAGGGTGCTTCTACTAAATACTGAGCAAAGGGGCTGAATACTTATGACCATGTGATATTTCAGTTTTTCTTTTTTAATAAATCTGCAAAAATGTCAAAAATTCTGTGTTTTTCTGTCAATATGGGGTGCTGTGTGTACATTAATGAGGAAAAAAATGAACTGAAATGATTTTAGCATATGGCTGCAATATAACAAAGAGTGAAAAATTTAAGGGGGTCTGAATACTTTCCGTACCCACTGTAACCCAACAGAAATATTAGCTTGAGTAACACCAGAAAGAAAGCAGTTGAGTGGCATTCTATGTAGTAGACAAAATCTAATATAGTGGTCTCCAGCTCATCAGTTCATCTTCCCTCCCTTGTCTTTTTCCACGACTGCATCTATAGCCAGTCCACCTCCACTATAACTGCCAAACAACAAGGCACACTGAACCGAGCAGACACTCAAATAAAAATCACAAACAAATAAGTACCTGTGGCAAGCGGGAGAGGTGAAAGTGGTCGGGAGAGCGTGGGTGACGGGGTCCCGACTGCCAAACTCCTTCTCTTGTTGTTACGGGAACTGTGAAAGGAGAAAAACAAACAGAAGAGAGAAAACATTTGTTTATGCCGTGCGATTACCAGTGCAAAAAAGGATCACATAAAAGAAAAAACTGGCAGCCTATGAACACAAGTTGTTGTCCGTGATGGGGTAACACTGATAACTATAATGTTACTGGTATTACTGCTTGTACCACTAGGAGCAAGTGATCCCATAAAACACCTCTGGTTGGATGATGCAGAGAAACAAGCAAACATGACGACTCCCATGATGTCGACTGTAACATGCTGTCTATACCATTACAGATCCATCACCATGGAGGAACGTGATCTTTATCCACACATAATCAACACAAAGTCATTTACAGGTAAGAAAATGATCGATCTGTTTGAAAGACATGTTCTTTCTGCTGCTCTACCTGAAGCGGACTGTACTGTTGAGATGGTTTCATTTTGGCTTGGTCAACTTGCAACTGCTGTTCCTCTTTGTGAGATCAGTTTGTTTAAACTGGGTATGTTTTAGTACAACAAATAAGACTGACCTTTAAAGGACATGCTTTTCTTTAAAAAGCCACACATAAGTGTGATGAATGGCAGACCTGTTTAAGAGCCAGCAGATATAACTAAGTGGCTCAATGACTCACCCACACAGACACCAGTGTAACTGTGATGCAGTTGCTTCAAAATGCAAATGTAATTTTGTCCCCTTCCTCTATGTTTGTATGCATATGGTTCCTATATGCCTTAAGCTCACTCTGCGGGTGCCGAAGTGTTTAAGCATTTGGTGTTCCCCGCAAACCTGGGTGTAATCCCATCATGCTCTGTTTCATCGCTGTAATGTCAATAACATCTCTCTTTCTCTCTGGCAGCAACCTAAAATAACTGAGGGGCTGAGACGATAACAGAGCCTGATGTTTCTGGGTCGGTGCTGAGACAGATACACACAGTATACTGTATGGCCCCAAACAAAAAAGACTCAAAGCGCCAGACATGGCATAGCAACAGAGAGAAGAGAGAGCCAATAAGTGCTTGACTTTGGCTTCCAAATGTCTACGACACAGCTCCAACCACAGAAAGACACTGTGTGCATACAGCATTACAGTCTTATCACAAAACGCCCTTTTCTCACAGTGGAGCCTGGACCATATATAACTGTACATGAGCATCACCCCACATGAATGCCTTATCAACAGTTAGCAGTGATATGGCTAGTCATACAACAGTAGTGGTCTGTGAGGACGCTGCAGGCAGACATGTGGCATGACTAATATAGGCCACTGAAATCCAGGCCTGCACATCTGACATGTCTGCTGATGGTCAAGGGCTGTATTTATTCACTGAGCTCCACTCAGATCCAGTCTGTGCTAAAAGGGTAAGACGACTGATGCATCTTCCCAAGTTACATGAAACAGGTGGATAGTCTGATACTCCCATGTTACTGGAAGACTACAGTAGCTGAGAAAACTACGTTACACGGTTTTAAACTGTGACTGTGAGAGCAAAGGTTTCATTTGAGAACTTATTAGCATTAAGTTGTTCATCTTATGCATAAGGCTATGACTCTACCTGGATTAGAGCAAAACATTTCACTACAGAAATATTGGGATTATGATAAAGGAGATAAAACTGTCATTAATTACAATAAGATCGATATGAGTCCTCATGGGCATGAAAGGCAAATGTTACTGCCCCACGTTGTGAGGGCTGATTGTGTCACATTAATTAAAGCTGATCTACAACACTACAGTCCAACTAAACACATCAGTGTATCGATCAGCGCTGGGACTTTGTATGGCTTTATGCGACAGCTGGCCGCAGACAATGCAGTCTGTCTGCACACACAGCCCACAATGGCCACGTTTTTCTGTCGGAAACAAAAACTAGGGCGGATGTAACCGCCGCATACAGTAACAAGGCAATCACAGACCCGACAGTGGCATTATTAATCTGAGAAGAATGCTGATAATATTAGCTTACTAGACACTGTGGGGGTTGCGTTTACGTGCTGGGAATCAAATAGCTCAAGATAAACATTCAACACATTGCTGTTTGTTAAGACAGTGAATAGCACAGCTCAACGGGGAGCCGATAACAACTACAGGCAGAGCAGACGTCTTCGCTTTGCGGCAGCTCCGTCTGCATATTCTGAAAGTCTCAGGTTAAATAACTGTTACCTTTTCGATCTTTTCATCATGGCCCCAGTCACAAAACTAGTTTTGTAGCTCGGCAACACGGTCCAATAGTAGTTTTGGTCAGCCATGGTGGTGGTGACGACCGATAAAGTCAACCCAGATATGCGAACTATCCTCTAGTTAAAGTGTGAGCATCATGTTAAACAGTCTCCCCGGTGGAGCTGATGTTTATCATCGGAGGTGGTTAGCTAACGTCAGGCTAATGTGCTGTGTCCAACGACAAAAACTCCATTCAGTTTCGGTACAAACTAAAGCAGACCCACAGCACGGCAGCTCGGTGGTACTGAGCGACTGCAACGGCCATGTCCGCTCTGCGCATCCCTCTGTGCTTCTAGCTGAATTTCCGAAGCAGTCCGTCTTCAGCTGTATGCAACATTATGGATACATCTTGGCCAATATGCAAAGACTGTGAAGAAACTTTCCAGCAGCGACAGCGCAGCCGCGTCAGAGGGAGGAGGGGCTAATGATGCCTTCCAGTACTGTCGGAAATCCCGCAGTCACCAGGGGCAAAAAAAGAAGATGATGATTGTATACATTTAGTTGTAACAACACTGACAGCAATTCGCTTAGAACACTACACTTTAATATCTATAAAAATAGTACAGGTAGAACGTGCACATCATATCGTATTAACGTTAGACCTGTCAATTGTGGATCTTAGTAGATTCACTGCTAGTTTGTTTGTGGTAATTTGATTACTTATTTTATTTGAGAATATCTTTTATGTCTTTTCAGCCTGTGCTAAAATTTACATGTTGTGTATTCAGCTTTTTTAAAAGCCGGAACAGAAAACAGCGACCCATAGCTCATTTTCCCCCTTATAGTGATTTAATCCAGCCCTGTAGGTTATTATAGGCTACAGTTTAAAACATATGACAGATGCACTGCAGATCCCTAATGAAATATTTAAATGATCTATCCAGAGAGAAGCCCTTAATTTTAATCAGTGAATAATAATATAGTAAGCCATTCGATATTCTGATCACTCAGACAGCAACAGCTTTTAGCTCATAAACATAGCTACTGGTCCTGATACAGTACACATCTAAAACAAACATTTCCTTGTTTGTCTGAAACACCTTACTGGAAGGGGAAAAGCTGAAGTGAGCAACACAGACATTTTTATCTCTTTAAAAGCTTTAAATCTGTCCACTGTTATCTGCTGTTAGTGCTTCCTGTGATTCTGATATTTCCACTGACTCATATATAAAACTAGCCTGTCTTAAACTCTTCTCCACAGTCCCCGAGCAGGTTCAGGTCAGTACGGAGACTGATGTTGATCTGATTGGGGCACATCCTGTTTGAGCAGCAAACTCACAAACAGGTTTCTTCATGCTGTTCATGTGTGTCACTCCTCTGTTGATAGTCATCAGAATTTTGGACAGGAAAAAAATATGGAGGGGGGAAAACATCACATGGACACCGAATTGTTTTTTTACTTTACTGGGGCACAATGGGAAAAAACAGATTCAGATTATTGGCAATAATGGATGGGCAACCTATTGATTCTCTGAGATTTCCTGCGTATTCTCCCACTCACATCATAAAACCTGTCTGAGCTGTAAGGCTGCTCTGTCTATCAGGAAAACCTCATAAGCAGATGACTCTTGCCTTTGCAGGAGACAGTCAAGTAAATGCTATGTGTTACTGATGACAAGCTGGTCTGGTTCAAGGAGAGTGGAGATAGGCAAAAGGAGATGGAGACAGAATAAGTCAGCTGATGATACTTACACATTTCCCCTGCGAGGAAGACTCAGTTCTTTCTAGAACAGAAGAGATGGGAAAGGCTGAATTAAGGATATTTTCTAAAAAAAATGCTTTGCTTTATCTATGTTTTTATGATTACAGGTACCCGCTTTTATTGCTGTTTGAGCGCAGAAGAACAAAAAGGGGTCTTCACAAATCAATAGCTTTTCCAAATCAGGGGACAATTATCATTTTTAATACATTTTCTGTGGTTCTGCTGCTATGAAAATACATGTTGACTCCTCAGAATAAACAGAATGTGAAGATTTGTTGCAGGCATTTATATTCATAAAATGTATTTTTAAGACAAGAAAGACTACAGCAGTTTCCCAAATGGGTGTTGCTACAGTAAATGTATACAAGTCTTTGTCACTTATCTTCATTTCAGTGCAGTATAAATATCATTTTCTGCAGTATGGCCTAGCTTCTTGAATGGCAAATGGTTATTCTAGTCATTTCATGGCAAGGACATACAAATCCTCACAGGCCTGTGGCTACATGCATTTGAGCTCGGGCAACAGCAAAACTGCTTTTATCAAGCATAGGAAAGGGTGACACTCTGTTATCTCCCAAAGATAGTCCATCCCAGAGCAGGATTCATTTGTGAAACAATATTTAATGAAGACAACATACTATGTTATGCCTACAGCATTTAGGAGTGACATGAGAGCAATTGTGAATAATTTCACCATCGTACTCATTATTAGAATAGTCACAGAGCTGCTCTTAAATCTAAATTGCAAATGAATGTAACAGGTCGGGAACATCCACTTTGGACCAGTGAATCACAAACCCAGCATCACCTTCTCCAGAAAGATATGAGGCAGAAACAATTGTATTTAAAGCAGGAAATATGCACATGACTGAACTAGAGGAGGAAAACCCCCCTTCATTATCCTCATTCTGGATATTCCCAAGAGATAAACATGGTGCCTTGGTGAAGATTACAGGGAATTTGCTGCCAGTCATGCAGGAACCCTTGGGTTTTGTGCTCCTGTCACCAAGGCAACTAGATTCACTAAAGCACCAATGAGGAGCTCCAAAATAAAGACATCAAGATAGTGAGACCAGATCTACTTTACAAACGCTACATTCATAAATTGCATTATGCGCACCTATTGCTGCCATTCATGGAATCATGATAGTCTTAGATGAACAGACAACAGACATGATGAAATAACTGACCAGTACGAAACATTCATAACATTTCCAAACCATGTCACATAATTATCAACTGGAATAATTAATTAATTAATATTACAGGATTTAAGGAATTTCTAAGCAATCAAGCGCTGCTCAGCTGCTAAATCCAAAACAATTCCCGGAGAAATCCCTTCCATCATTATCTTATCATCCCGTTTTCCTGGAACTGGCACATCTGAGCGCTGACAATGACCATTTACCTGTAGACCGCGGCGTCTCAGGATATTCGGTTCATCCATCACTGAAGATAAAACCCAGAAACCAAGGTGGATCCCCAGTCAGTCAGCCCATTCAGCGTGCCGCCCTCTGAGCCCTCCTCGCTGTTGCTGCTGCTCCACCACCACCACCACCACCACCACCTCCTCCTCCTCCTCCTCCTCCTCCCTGCGGCGAGCGGCCGGAGCGCGAACGGCAGGACCAGCCCCGAAAGGTTATGGGGAGATCGGGAGGGGAGAGAGAAGGTAGGTGGGGAGGGTATTTAATCTAGACTAATGAGGTGATATCCTCATTCTCTGTGATCAGCTGTCAAATGCACCGGTTCGACGGTGTGTCCTGCGCATTTTCAGGTCAAGGACCATCAGATGGCCTACACACAAACACTCAGAAAATCCGTTTACTTCCTGGTCACTTAACAAACCCAGGCTACGTGGTCACCATGATATTGGATTATCTATAAGTACAACTCAACCACTAAACCTCCCAGAAACATATGCACTCCACTTGTTTCCATACCTCCTGTTACATGCTGGCTGATTGATTGGCTGTGTCCTAGTCAGATAAATTTACCATTCATCCATCATGAGAAATAACACAATGTATGCATGGTGGAATAAAACCTCAGCAGAGAGAGGACCAAGAATAACTGTGCTTTGAAGCTGGACCAGACAACCGTGTCTGTCACCCAGAGGTACCCTGATGTGTTTTTTCATATACAACAATGGTTAGTCTCTTGTCCTGTGATGTCACATGTCCATTTTATGCAGGCCAGAGGGATGTGAGTCCTTCCTTGTTGTCTTGTGAAGTTCGCTCTTGATTTGTAACAGCTCAAAGTGAGAAGCCAGTGTTGCAGAACAACTCAAAAAGATCCGCATGCAATTTGTTTTCTTGGTATGAAATGAACAATTTCTCTTGTTGCATTTGAGTAGAAAACAATGATAATATTGATAACATCTGCATTATGTAATTTTTTAAATTAATAAAGCAGAATATTTAAATTAGTTTCAGAATTTTTGAATCTTCAAAAAAAAAAAATTCTTAGGTTTTAAAAGAAGATTCTCTTAACGATAATAAATGTATGTAGCACTAAATAATTTCACATCGCTTCCACAAAACACTCATCACAACAACAGCCACTTGGAAATATTAGGAATCTGCAGCCAAACACTGTTTTACACATCAGCCATCAGTGTACTTTTTCTGTTTCTGTCTCAGTGTGTCCAACTCACTTTATTGTTTCAGATCTCTGTTGAAGTATGTGTCTCTGTATAAACAGTGTGAACAAACAAGATTATAATCCAAGACTAAACTATAATCAACATCTTACAACGAAGTAATTTTACAGAAAACAGAGTTCAACCCAGGTGGAAACTGAGACAAAACTCTTTAAATGAAAGGGCACTGAATATCTGGAGTTTGTTCTTCACCAAACTGATGATGGAGTTTGGAGCTAGTGAGACACAGACTGTGAAGCTGTTGTGTTCCCTTTTGTGTCCTTGTGATCCAGGTTATCTTCAAATGATCCATGTGTATTTGTGGAACCAGTCAGGCATGAAAGCCGGCTTGCTTTTCCTCTTTTTACTGCCCTCTTTTCACAGTCATTTGTGTGTTTTCTCACCCTGTGTCTCAGATGTTAACACCACTTTATGTGTTTTATTCACTACAAGACTAAAGGGTTAGAATGAAGTGCTTCTCCCATCTTTCTGTTGGTCCAGCCATTGCAGGATTTTTGTTCTCCATAAACTGTAAATAAAGAATAAAATAAAACAAGGATAATAAAGATGAAAACACAAATGGAACCAAGTTTGATGAAAAAAATCTCAAGGTTTTTAATGCTTATCTTTAAAGTGCTTATCAGTCAGTACTGATCAAGAACAATTGTCACAGTGATTAGTTGAGGCATTAAATCACAAACCAGATCATTTCACCAACCAGAATCATCAAATAACCACTCTGGTCTGTTTCACGTTTGGAAATATACACACATATACTGTACATCATTTATACATTTGGCCTTTATTTGAACTCCTGGAAAACAGTGGATTTCCTTTTATTTGCTGCCTGGAGGCATCTTCATCTCAACTCCAATATGAGATATCAGATTTGTCATGCACCTGCTGACTGCATATAAAGCTGTAGACCCACTTCGTTGGTTAAACTCCACATTGCAGATTTACAGCCACAAGAGGGCGTCATGGAGCTGTGTGTTTATTAACCCTGTACGTGGCTAGTTATCTTCTCTATATACAGTATGGTTCAAACTAAAAGGTAGAGAAAATGAGTGAAAAATAAGTTATGACCGGATGAATAAATGTAAGGAAGAATGAATGAAGAGCATTTGAATGGCAATGAAAATACTAAGACTTTAATCAACAGCACTGCACAAAAGCATCAGGCACTTTACAGTCATCCGATCACTTTCAGATGCATTCTGCAGGATTCTTATTCATTGCACAGTACCATCAGGGATGTGTCTGATCACTTTCAGATGCATTCTGCAGGATGACAGTGAGCCCAAATATACCACCAAAGACATAAAGAAATGATCAGAGAGAAGAGAAATAAAGGGTCCCACAACAGATCTCTCCCTCATCTCAGCAGCATGGAGTCAGTCTAGGATCACACGAAGAGACAGGAAACACTGAGAAAGCCCAAGTCCAGAGAGTTACTGTACCAGGTTCACAGAGATGCTTAGAACAACCTACTTTCCAAGTAGTCTAAAAAAAATATGTGCAAGTATAAGTAGAATTGGTGCTGGGTAAAAGGCAAACAGTGGTCACACCTAATACTGACTTAGTTGTTTTTTTTTTTAATCTTTACTGCACTTTATATTAAGTTCATTAATAAATAAAGAAAATGTTCATGACATTATTTTTGAAAGCATCCTCCCTCTGCCTTTAGTACCCACAGCGTTGTACTGTACTCTAAAGAACGGGCTGGTTTGGTTCTGTATTTCTCTCATGCCTTGAAAGTGAAGAGAGTGAGTCTTTCATGTCAGTTTAAATAACAGTGCCAGTTTGTATGAGTCATTTTGCACCTTTCACACACTTTCAACCTGTATGGTAGGCTCACCTGGCAAAGCACATGACTGTTTCATTACCTCAGTGACTCACTGTTCAGAAATTCAAACGTCTTTTGTATCCTTTGATAATTAGATAGTGATATCTTCTCAACGTAGAATAGTTTCCATGCTTTTAGATTGGAAAAATTTGTCAGAATATTGCGACATGTCACCAGCGTTTTTGGAATGGGGCCTTTTATAGCCAAGCAATGGCTGTGACCCCTTATTGCTGGTCAAAAAGTGATGTTCCCTTTTCAGATGGTTTCATGTTTATACAGTAGATATTAAAACCTTAAAGTTGAAGTGTCCAGCATGTAAAGAGAAAAGTTAGAAAAAATAACTACACTGTAAATTCAGCCAAGTTAAGTTAAATGTTTTGAAAAAGTAACACTAACTCCTTTAATTTAACTGAAATTAAAGATGTTATGTTGACCACACTTCTGCCACATGGACATTTGCTGCAGAGGTTGATTTTGCTTTTACACTCCCCAATCTGAAGAGTCAGTTCTTTATCTGACATGAAGAACCTAAAGCTGTATCTGTTGGAGGCATTTTGGACCAAAGTCTGCGAGGCTGGTAAATTTTATGTAGGGGCTGAATTCAAGACTAACCTTTATCACAGTTTGTAGTGCTTTTATACTTATGAAAAGAAAGAACCATAACCTAATTTAATACAGAGACACACAGTATGTTTTCACCATCAACTGGGTATTAAAAATAGAAAAAGAAGTGTCTCAACCAGTGAATGCCGGGAAGTCTGCCACCTCTATAAAAAGCATCATTTCCCCTACTTACTTTTGTCTAAGTTAATCAAACTTAGCTTTTCTGGCCCCAAATTACAAGTAACATATTTACTATGTGGTTGCTGAAAGACAGAATGTTATAAACTCACAATTTGTACATCCATAAACTCACTTTCATGGACATTTTCTCTAAATGACAAGGAGTATCAGTGAGTTGCTGCAATCAGGACTGCCCCTGAGTGCAAAGAACGAGATCAGTGGGGGAATTCCCTTGTAAACAAACAATGTGCTGACATTCTTTACAATCAGAAGTGAGGTTGCTGATAACTACTTGTCACCAGGCCACGAAGCAGGCACAAGTGTAGCCTGTGTCATAGTCCAGCAGTTACTACTGACTTAGAATCAGAGTCAGAATCATCTTTAATGGCCAAGTATATGTGAACATGACTCCAGCGCAAAGGCTCTCAGTGTGTTTGTAAGGCAACGAGAAATAAAAAATAACAATGAATATAAAAATAAAACAATAAAAATAAAAAATAAGCAATGTCTGCATTCAAATAAGAAATATGTGCAATCAAAAGCAGGAAAAGAATGAGAGGAAAAGAAATAAGCATTTAATATATGTACATATATAAACGTTACGACAGAAGAGCTTTCATACTGATATATAAAGGTTGTATTTACAGCTTATTGTGATTTGGTGATTGCTGTGTCCAGTCTTACAGTCATGGGTTAACCGATTGTCAGAGTGATGGCCCAGGGGAAGAAACTGTCCTTGTGCCTGGTTGTCTTGGTGTAAAGTCACCTGTAGCATTGTCCAGAGGGGAGGAAGTCAAACAGATTATGTCCTGGATGTGAGGAGTCTGCAGAAATCCTCTCTGCCCTCCTTTTGACCTGTGAGGTGTACAGGTCCTCCATGGAGGGAAGGCTGGCACTGATGTTTCTTTCTGCAGTCCTGACTGTTCACTGGAGTCTGTACTTGTCCTGTTTGGCTGCTGAGCCAAACCAGACGGTGATTGAAGAGCAGAGAACAGACTCAATGATTCCTCTGTAGAACTGTATCAGCAGCTCCTGGGGCAGGTCAAACTTGCTGAGCTGGCGCAGGAAGTACATCTTCTGCTGTGCCTTCTTGGTGATGGTCCTGATGTTGGACGTCCACTTCGGGTCCTGGGAGATAGTGGAGCCCAGGAATCTGAAACACTCCACTGCTGATACAGTGCTGCTGAGTAACAGGGGTGTCTCCTGACGTCCACTGCCATCTGGACATAGCAGGAAT